GCCTATGGCAGCCATTCTATAACTCAGGAACTACTGGGCTGATCGTGACGAAAACACCACCAGTCGATTCAGCGTATGCGATTTCATCAGCCGTTTCGAATATGGTGACCTCAGGTGACCTCGGTGACCTTGGGAGGTCACATGACCAATGTGGCCTATGGCAGCCATTCTATAACTCAGGAACTACTGGGCCGATCGTGACGAAAACACCACCAGTCGATTCAGCGTATGCGATTTCATCAGCCGTTTCGAATATGGTGACCTCAGGTGACCTCGGTGACCTTAAGAGGTCACATGACCAATGTGGCCTATTGCAGCCATTCTATAACTCAGGAACTACTGGGCCGATCGTGATGAAAACACCACCAGTCGATTCAGCGTATGCGATTTCATCAGCCGTTTCGAATATGGTGACCTCAGGTGACCTCGGTGACCTTGGGAGGTCACATGACCAATGTGGCCTATGGCAGCCATTCTATAACTCAGGAACTACTGGGCCGATCGTGACGAAAACACGACCAGTCGATTCAGCGTATGCGATTTCATCAGCCGTTTTGAATATGGTGACCTCAGGTGACCTCGGTGACCTTGGGAGGTCACATGACCGTTGTGGCCTATGGCAGCCATTCTATAACTCAGGAACTACAGGGCTGATCGTGACGAAAACACCACCAGTCGATTCAGCGTATGCGATTTCATCAGCCGTTTCGAATATGGTGACCTCAGGTGACCTCGGTGACCTTAAGAGGTCACATGACCAATGTGGCCTATTGCAGCCATTCTATAACTCAGGAACTACTGGGCCGATCGTGATGAAAACACCACCAGTCGATTCAGCGTATGCGATTTCATCAGCCGTTTCGAATATGGTGACCTCAGGTGACCTCGGTGACCTTGGGAGGTCACATGACCAATGTGGCCTATGGCAGCCATTCTATAACTCAGGAACTACTGGGCCGATCGTGACGAAAACACCACCAGTCGATTCAGCGTATGCGATTTCATCAGCCGTTTCGAATATGGTGACCTCAGGTGACCTCGGTGACCTTGGGAGGTCACATGACCAATGTGGCCTATTGCAGCCATTCTATAACTCAGGAACTACTGGGCCGATCGTGACGAAAACACCACCAGTCGATTCAGCGTATGCGATTTCATCAGCCGTTTCGAATATGGTGACCTCAGGTGACCTCGGTGACCTTGGGAGGTCACATGACCGTTGTGGCCCATGGCAGCCATTCCTCCCAAGGTCACCGAGGTCACCTGAGGTCACCATATTCGAAACGGCTAGAGAAATCGCATACGCTGAATCGACTGGTGATGTTTTCGTCACGATCGGCCCAGTAGTTCCTGAGTTATAGAATGGCTGCCATAGGCCACAACGGTCATGTGACCTCCCAAGGTCACCGAGGTCACCTGAGGTCACCATATTCGAAACGGCTGATGAAATCGCATACGTTGAATCGACTGGTGGTGTTTTCATCACGATCGGCTCAGTAGTTCCTGAGTTATAGAATGGCTGCCATAGGCCACAACGTTCATGTGACCTCCCAAGGTCACCGAGGTCACCTGAGGTCACCATATTCGAAACGGCTGATGAAATCGCATACGCTGAATCGACTGGTGGTGTTTTCGTCACGATCAGCCCCGTAGTTCCTGAGTTATAGAATGGCTGCCATAGGCCACAACGGTCATGTGACCTCCCAAGGTCACCAAGGTCACCTGAGGTCACCATATTCGAAACGGCTGATGAAATTGCATATGCTGATTCGACTGGTGGTGTTTTCGTCACGATCGGCCCAGTAGTTACTGAGTTATAGAATGGCTGCAATAGGCCACATTGGTCATGTGACCTCCCAAGGTCACCGAGGTCACTTGAGGTCACCATATTCGAAACGGCTGATGAAATCGCATACGCTGAATCGACTGGTGGTGTTTTCGTCACGATCGGCCCAGTAGTTCCTGAGTTATAGAATGGCTGCAATAGGCCACATTGGTCATGTGACCTCCCAAGGTCACCGAGGTCACTTGAGGTCACCATATTCGAAACGGCTGATGAAATCGCATACGCTGAATCGACTGGGGGTGTTTTCGTCACGATCGGCCCAGTAGTTCCTGAGTTACAGAATGGCTGCCATAGGCCACATTGGTCATGTGACCTCCCAAGGTCACCGAGGTCACCTGAGGTCACCATATTCGAAACGGCTGATGAAATCGCATACGCTGAATCGACTGGTGGTGTTTTCGTCACGATCGGCCCAGTAGTTCCTGAGTTATAGAATGGCTGCCATAGGCCACATTGGTCATGTGGCCTCCCAAGGTCACCGAGGTCACCTGAGGTCACCATATTCGAAACGGCTGATGAAATCGCATACGCTGAATCGACTGGTGGTGTTTTCGTCACGGTTGGCCCAGTAGTTCCTGAGTTATAGAATGGCTGCCATAGGCCACAGCGGTCATGTGACCGCCCAAGGTCACCGAGGTCACCTGAGGTCACCATATTCGAAACGGCTGATGAAATCGCATACGCTGAATCGACTGGTGGTGTTTTCGTCACGATCGGCCCAGTAGTTCCTGAGTTATAGAATGGCTGCCATAGGCCACATTGGTCATGTGGCCCCCCAAGGTCACCGAGGTCACCTGAGGTCACCATATTCGAAACGGCTGATGAAATTGCATACGCTGAATCGACTGGTGGTGTTTTCGTCACGATCGGCCCAGTAGTTCCTGAGTTATAGAATGGCTGCCATAGGCCACAGCGGTCATGTGACCTCCCAAGGTCACCGAGGTCACCTGATGTCACCATATTCGAAACGGCTGATGAAATCGCATACGCTGAATCGACTGGTGGTGTTTTCGTCACGATCGGCCCAGTAGTTCCTGAGTTATAGAATGGCTGCAATAGGCGAAAACGTAAAGTTGACCTTTTGAGGTCACCGAGGTCACTTGAGGTCACCATATTCGAAACGGCTGATGAAATTGCATACGCTGATTCGACTGGTGGTGTTTTCGTCGCGATCGGCCCAGTAGTTCCTGAGTTATAGAATGGCTGCAATAGGCGTCAATGCCAAGTTGACCTCTTGAGGTCACCGAGGTCACCTGGGGTCACGAGCTTCGAAACGGCTGATAAAATCGTACCTCCTGATTCGAATGGTGTTTCGTTCGTTCCGATCGGTCCAGTAGTTCCTGAGTTATAGAATGGCTGCAAGGGTGGCGGTCGAATAGTGTTGTCCCTAAAACATAAGGTTGGACGAAGTTTTCTACCAAAAATCTACTAGAATAGCGCACGAGTCAAAGCTATTTCCGTTGTTTCTTTACAAATATGTTGCAAACAAGCTTTTTCTGCAATAAATCATTTTTTCGAAGTTAAGCAACCAGTAGCTATAAATTCGATAAGCAAACACTTATTTTTTATATAAAAGCCTAGCTTATATAGTCCAACTCTAGGTGAATAATCAAGTAGCTACTAAATTTTCCAGATGTGACACATATTGCGCACTTCAGACAAATTCGTTGCTAGGGCGTTGCTAAGGACTCTTTCGCATGTTTTGCTGCCTGGCTTTTGTTATGAAGTGAGGGAAGTGAGATTGGACAGGCTTTTTCTATTTTTTTCTGGTTTTCTAGGACCGTCTCAATTATTTAACTTGACATACTTTTCTTGCTTTTTTATCCGAAGGTTTTCAATAATTGGTAGATTCTAGCGTGGAAATAAAAAGGCGAGCAGGCAACAGGGGTAAATGCAAGTCGACTGATAGTGAAATAAAAGGTAGAAAAATGTAATGTGATGTGATGGAACATGAAGCAACAGCATCAGACGCAAGAACCACTAATTAAGAACCCAGAACCAGCAAGCGCCATGCAATCAAGAGCAGCCATGGTAACGTTTGATCAGCTTTCAGAAAACCTTGGAAGACGCCAGACGGTGAGCAATCAAGAGATCTTACAAGACCAGTAGATACTTCAAAACGAGAGCCGCCGGGAAAATCAGAAGATTCTTCAATGGCAACACATTTCAACATCTATCTAGCAATTATTTGCACCAGCGAGGTGCTATCATTGTGTTTTGTGCCTGTATCCCTAACTGCTCAAAAAATATTTGTCAATAAATAAACAAATAATGCGTCTTTTTCTACTGAAAGTAAGTCCTCCAAGTGGCAGGGGATGAATAAAAGAATGTACCTACCTAATTAATTGTCATCTATTCATTCAATTCATAGGCAATTCAGGGCATCGATCGGCAGCGCCCTTACTGCATGGTACTGCGGATTGTCGATGGGTTCCTTGATGACTCCGACTCTGACGATCAGACTTTCAAAAATCAACTCTGACATTGATTTCAAATGTCGGCTCTGACCGACTCCGGCTGCACAGCCCTAGCAGGTCTGCGGAGGCAATGGATTTTTGGTGACTCCGACTCCGACTCTGACTTTCAAATTCGACTCTGACTCCGACTCTGGGCAGAACTGTCAACTCCAACCGAATACAACTCCGACTACGGAACCCTGAGGTCTGCGGAGGGGATCGAATTTCGGTGCCTGACTCAGACTCCAGCTTTTAAAATAGACTCTGACTCTGACTCGACGACTCAGGTCAGAACTGCCAACTCCGACCGACTTCATGACTCCGACTCCGGAGCCCTACTGGCAGCTATAACGCCAGGGAGCTGCAAATCATATGTTCCGTGGCGGTTTATGGCATTAAAGTCGATAATGCAACTGAATCGCACTATGAAACACCCTTATTGGCTGCAAGAACCACGAAAGTTAGCGCATCACCACTGAAAAACGTGACAAGTTATCGATTAATTGGCCCTGGATTTGGATAAATAACATGTTGCTGATCATATTAGCACACATTTACATTATCAGCTATCTCAAGGTTGCCCTTGAGGCGGCTCTAAACTATGGCATTTTCCCTATCTTCAACATGTAAATGCCCTCGGGCGTCCTCGTGGTGACGTAGGCATGGGAGTGCCAGGTTGGTAGGAACTAGACTTCGACGCCCCCTGTGAGGACCCTATGGGAGACGGTGAAGTAGCGGAAGCAATAAATAGAGCGCTCTAATTTTAGCTTATTTCCCTGGTGTGTCACCGACTGGAATCGGGGGATGTAGGGCTTTGGAATTAGGTTTTGAATAGTGAGCGGGGGTGAGTTGTTTCCCGTTTGGAGACCACATTTTTCTGTTGTGAATGTTTTCCATATAAGTGACGGTGTATATTGATGTGCCTTGATTCCACTTCAGGTAATTGTAATGTGAATTCTCGTAATGCTACTGAGCTGTGTACCGTTGAGTAAAGCAAAAGATTTACAATCAAAGTGACAGCGAAAACCAAAGCCCTTTATACCAGCTAGAGTCATCCAGCGATTCCAACTGATTGTGACATCAGTCATCAGCCAGTGACATCATTTGGAGTTGAGCCCAAGGCTATGTTGAGCCTTGAAGCCCCATCAATGGCTCATATAAATTAGTAATTTTTGAAGCACTGTAGTAAGAAACCAGTGAAGGCTGTTCCTAAACTGAATACATAATCAGAAAGGGCAGACATTTATCTGCAAATTATCTTTTACATGTTTTCGTTAAAACTTTGGCTTTTTTCACAAAGGCGTAAAAAACCTCCCCATGCTTCCGCAGCCTCCCGCTCCGCCCATGTGTCTAGCTAACATAACATAACTGTCTAACATAGGTAGGTAGTTAGTGTTTTTGGAGCCATGCAGAGATAGGGGACAACATGGGCCTGTTTGAAACCAACATGAGGCTGGTTTCATGAACAGAAAATTTTAGGCTGTGGCTGAATAAGTAATATCAGGCTGACTGATGATTATTGTTTTTAACATCATTGGCTAATTTTGCTTGGAGGGCAAATTTTTGTGCAGGTGTTTGCTGTTTATCCTCACCCCCACATCTTAGCATCGAGTACATAATTGCTTTGGTTTCATAATAAATTTTTATTAAAGCACCTTTCAGGTCTATCTGCTTCAGACAGATAGACAGACATAACTTTATTTTAGACCATACTGATCTATGGAAAAATCCCCTTATACCTACCATAAAAACTCACACATACACACATGCTAAAAAACACACTGGAGTTTGCATAATGCATGCCAAATTATGAAAAATGCCTCTTTGAGCTATCAGAGCCTGGATGAATCACACCCATATTTAATATAAAAGACTAAGTGCTGATTAACTGGTGTGGCTCAGGACATGCCAATGAAATAGGCATGGAAATAGTCTTGTGGATAGCCTTATTTCATTTGGATCATGTTGTTTTCTATAGTTTTATTGGCAATGAGTGGTCAAACTGCAAGATTTTAAGCGAGTTAACCCTTGCCAGCCGAGGGAGTTGCCGCCTCCCCTCATAGGTTTTTTCGCGATAGCTCTGAACACGCTGGCGATGGAGAGCTGAAACTTGGCATACTTGACCTTTGATTCAAGCCACCTCTTCTGACACCAAGTGCATTTTCGGGTCAGGTCAGGTCACTGACCTATGATGTCATAAGTAAACCTCTGCAGTCTGCACGGTCTTAAGATGTCGCAACTTCGCAACGCCCTCACTGCCAGAGTAGCTTTCACAGTGAGATGAAACTTACAGGACCTAGTATCCTTTAGGAGTCTCACAAGTCACAACTTGTATATCTCTGATTTTTCCTAAAAGTCATATGAGGTCAGGTCATTTTCGTGACCTCACCATTATATCGACACCTTTTTTTTAAACCCCACATCTGTTCTCCGGTGAATTTCCGGGAAGCACGAAAGATCTCTTTTTAGAAGTGTCCAATCGTCCGATCCTGATCAAATTTGTGTGTTCGTAAGCTTGCTCTGGCATTGCTTGATCTGCCAAGACAGACAAACTTGAGAAAAATCGAGTGACTGTACCTTTTTTGAAGGTTTCTAAACAACTTGTCTGACCTTCACGGGAGAACAAATGGGTTTAAAAAAAAGGTGTCGATATAAGTCAATGAAAAAATGAAAACTGCTATTTTGGCGCCAGGAACGATCTCAAACTATCTCAACCACACGGGATCGTGATTTCATGCAATCCTTGCTAGTTTCAATGCTTCACTTTTGCATTGTTGACCTTGCGTGACGTGGCCGTCATTTATAACGTCACTAGGGTCATAAGAGTTTTCATCAATAACTCCTGATCAAATTGAGCTAGCGAGTCGGAAAAGCCACCAATGGACTCGGGAAGGACTCGAATGATATGCGACATGACCTCCTTCGACGTTCGTGACCCAGACCTGGGGGCTCTGACCTGACCTGACTCGAGATCAACACCTAAAGTTAACCTCACCCAAACAAAAAGTATACCATTCGACGTGCCTGAGCAAGGCCAACACGATGCTATTAAAATCGCGGCTCTGCGATCATTTTTTTTGCGAAGTAATTCGCCAAAAACTGAACTTGTACCTTGGGCCACTTGACCTGACCTCAGAGGTCACCAGTTGACCTGAGACCTTAAAATCGGGCCCCAATCGCTGCATCTCATAACGGCGCACACGCTCGTTTTTCCGCGACGCTCTAGCTCCATTAGAGGCGAAACGACGAGGGGGTCGTACCCCCCCCCCCCCCTCGGCCGGCGCGTATGTAGAAAACCAATAGGTCCGGCGAGGGTTAACCTGAAGCAAGGCAAGGTTGATCCCGCAGATGTCGCACACGGAAGGCCTTTTTGTCCGCCGCGGAGTGTTTTGGTAGAGTGTAAATGGTCTGTGCTGGTCCCGGTGACACTGTACTGAGGCTGTGCGCGCCGCTGACCGCCAGGGTATGCCGCTGCTGACCGAGCTGTGCGGCTGCTTCCGGCGCCGGCCCGAGGAGGTGCGCGAGCTCGACTACCGGCACTGCTCGCTGCGAGACGTGCCCGGCGAGGTGTTCACCTTCGAGCGCACTCTGGAGGAGCTCCACCTGGACTCCAATCAGGTGGGGACGTGGAGACAGTCGCTCGTCGAGTAAATGTCTTATTCCGAATACCTAATAACAATCGGCACTTATCATACCCTGAGTGTTGCGATATTCTTATTTATTTTTTCTGCCTAATTATGCCTACACTTTCTGTAACGCCCTTGTTTCATATGACAAGCTTGTTTTCCTACAGGTCTGCGACTTGCCAGTCTCACTGTTCCATTGTCACAGTCTCAAACATCTGGGTTTGAGCGACAATGAGCTGCAGACTCTGCCGCCCGCCGTCGCATCTCTCATCCACCTGCACGTCCTGGATGTCAGCAAGAATGGTACGAAATAGACGTGTATATTCTGGAATCTGGGGACCGTGAGGAGTAAATAAGCCAAATAAGATATCGGTACCTACGTCGTGAAGTCGGGAGCTTTTTATCAGGTCCGTTAGGTCCTGCACTTACTGTAACATAATGCTGGTGTCATTACTATTTCATCACCATGATATACCTACCCACTTCTAGCAAAAAGGCACTCCAACGATATGTTTCTTTTCAGCGATTACCACCATCCCTGACAACATTAACGGCTGCAAGCAGCTGCGCTCGGTGGACGCCAGTGTGAATCCTCTGGCGCGACTGCCAGACGGCTTCACTCAGCTGCTGGCGCTGCAGGAGCTCTACCTCAACGATACATTCCTGGTGGGTGGGCGACCGGCCGAATAGCCTTCTTGTTTCAGTTGTGACCTCTCAGTTCATCGCTACGCTTCGTTTGGGGCAGTTCATCGACTGAGTGTTAGGTATCGAGTGGCTCATACGGAACATATTCTGCCTTTTTACTATTCCTAAATTGTTACCTATCATATAGTTGTTCCTGTTGCTCTCCTGTCGTCATCTGTCCGGACCCGCTGACGTTCTGTGTCCGTCCACTGCAGGAGTATCTGCCGGCCAACTTTGGCCGTCTGTCGCGGCTCCGTGTGCTGGAGCTGCGGGAGAACAGGCTCACCTCGCTGCCCAAATCCATGTCGCGGCTGACGCACCTCCAGCGCCTCGACCTCGGCCAGAACGACCTCAGTCAACTGGTACGTGTGAGCAACTTCAGTCAACTGGCATGTGCCAACGACCTCAGTTAACTGTTATGTGTTGATGACCTCAGTCAAATTGGTATGTGTGAACGACCTCAGTCAAATTGGTATGTGTGAACGACCTCAGTCAACTGGTACGTGTGAGCAACTTCAGTCAACTGGTATGTGCCTCTGGTAACTGGTAACGACCTCAGTCAACTGGTATGTGACAACGACCTCAGTCAACTGGTACGTGTGAGCGACCTCAGTCAAACTGGTATGTGCCAACGATTTCAGTCAACTGGTATGCGATTTTGCGTAATCCGACTACCGAAACGTTGGTCTTGGGCGAGGTTAGAGATGAATGGTTTGAATGATTAATTGGAGGGGACTGATTTAATTAGATGAGAAGTGAGAACCGACCCAAAACGGAGTTTTTACGCGATGTGCAGACTCAGATTTTTTACCTTCCCTGTCTTCCTCGACTCTTCTCTGATCAGTGATCACATTTCCCGATCGATTGATCGATCGACCCTCTGATCACATCCTTTGCCGATGTTGCAAAGCCTTGATTGCTACATAGTTCTTCCCCTGTTCCAGCCGGAGGTGGTGGGCAGCCTAACCGCCCTGACGGAGCTTCTGTGCGACTTCAATAAGATCAGTCGCCTCCCGGCCCTGCTGGGACAACTCACCCGGCTTCAGCACTTGGACGCCTCCAACAACAAGATCAGCTTCCTGGCCGACGAGATCGGGAACTGCACACAGCTCGTCTACCTTCAGCTGTCGGCTAACAACCTACGGGTACGTATCGAGTCGCTCATCAGCTAACTGATGTTTGAATGACTTGAATGACATGCATGAGAATGAAAGGACATGTGCACTGTGCAGCTATCGGACTGCAAACGGCCGCGGCTGAATGCTAGCCAAAACGTTCAAATAATGAAATGTTTCCTCTATATGCACGGTTCATAGTTACATCATGTGTAATAAATCTTCTCACGATTCTCAAAATAATCAAAATAAGCTTGATTTATCTCTAATAAATAACGCTTCTTTTTTCTCCTTCAGACGCTTCCTGAATCATGCAGTCTGCTCACCCGCCTGATAACGCTCAAAGTGGACGACAACACGCTGACGTCCGTGCCGGAGAACCTGGGTCACATCAGTGACCTGGAGGAGCTGATGGCGAGTCACAACGACCTGACCCGACTGCCGCCGTCGGTCGGTCTGCTGCGCCGCCTCGCCGACCTCAACCTGGACAACAACCTGCTGCTGCAGCTGCCGCCGGGTGAGACTAGGGCGCGGCTCGAATGGTGACTACTGAACTGATTGTGGTTCATTGGACTGTGCCTACTGACTGGGGTGTAGTGTTTCGATTAAGTGGATCGTTGGTATCTCGATGGGATGGGGTGGATGTCAACGGTAAGACGTATATCTCTGATACCTCGAACTGGTTTATGGCACCGAGGTGGAGTACTCGATATTTACGTACCCTTTTGTAACAAGACTTGTATCCTCGGCTGTGAACCAGCTCAGCTAACCGATCGCCTGTCGTTTGTCTGCAGAGCTGGGCAGCTGCACGTCTCTGCGTGTGCTCAGTGTCCGAAGTAACCGGTTGACGACGGTGCCGGCCGAGCTGGGTCACCTCTCCACACTAAGGGTGCTGAACCTGTGCAGCAACCGCATCTCGCATCTGCCGTGCTCCTTCACCAAACTGCATAACCTGCAGGTAAGATTTGATTTGATGTGTTGTTATTTGCTTCATAATTTTAGCTCGAATGTTTGAATGAACGGATTAATAGAGCCGGAGCCCACGCCAAGCAGCGCTTGTTGCGGACGCCTACCGTCCGATCGCGCTATGCTGAGTAACGGGAGAATTTACAGATGCCAAAGTTAGCGTGCCCATGAAAGCCGGACACGGTCCGTCTCGCTCGACTGACTTCAACTGGCTGCGGCTGGCCGGCTCCCACCAACCGCAGACCGTCCCCGTTAGAAGTGTCATATGTCGAGCGCCGGAGCCATTCGAACCGGGCTCTCATTACCTGGAGTTCAGTTCCCTACCAACTGAGCTATGGGACGGACAGTATTATGTGTCATCTGACGTATCATATCATCACGACCTAAGGCCAATCATAATCTTTTTGCTTGGGTTGAACTGCCTTTGAAGCCGACTCTTCGGTGCGCTGCGAACGTCCACCATGACTTACGGTTATGCTTTTTTTAAACCATTTTCTCGTCAACTCGTTGCTACGAGTGCTACGAATTTTACGATAACCAGTATAACGCCTTTTGGGGCGACTAACGGAGCGAGCGAGAGGGTGGGCCTTGCACGTTCGAAATTTCGAGGGGGTTCCTCCAACTGACTTGTGCACGGCACCTTACTAACCGGTCTCTAGCGATGTGCCAAATTTGAGCACAATCGGCCCAGCCGTTCTCGAGATCTGGAAGCGGCACTCTGCACGTGCGCACGTGCAAAATGGGTCCCAACTGACTTGTGCACGGCACCCTACTGACTGGTCCCTAACCGTGTACCAAATTTGAGCGCCATCGGTCCAGCCGTTCTCGAGATCTGGAAACGACCCCTGCACATGCGCACGTGCTGCAGCACCCCAACTCTGGCACATGGATATGCAGTGCCTAGTGGGTGCCTACCTACATGCCAACTTTCAGCGCAATCGGCCAAGTAGTTACCGAGATATTGCAACAATTACAAAACTGACACCTCTTCGTTTTGCACGTGGCACGTGCATAAGGGGTCACCCACATGCATCGGGAATAGTCCAATACTTGGTAGAAGGAATGAAGCTACCCTACAAAAATTACCGCGTGTAAATCGGTCAAGTGGTTGCTGAGATATAAACGTCGCAGAATCGTGACCACGGCCGGCCGGCCGCTCATACTCAGAAATTTCCGTTAATCTAAGGAAAGACTACGCTCGCTTCGCTCGCTCCGTAACTAGCTATTTTAACAGATGGGTGTATTTCGCTGAGAAGGGATGCGTTTTCCACTTAGTTGGAGTTCATTTTTATATCGTTTTTCTTTCTGTGATCCATCAGGCGCTGTGGCTGTCACCGAATCAGAACAAGCCGCTGGTGCGCCTACAGTCGGAGACGCTGCCCGGCTCGGGGCAGCGCGTGCTCACCTGCTTTATGCTGCCCCAGCACGACGATCCTTCGCCGGACGACGACGGAGGTACGTACGAACACGTTACCCGACTGCAGAAATTAGGCTACAATATCCGTCAGACTATTTTGTTGCGTGTTTATTTAGTTCAGTTGTTTCATTTAGTTCCCGTGATACTATTATAGCAATAACGATCCTCTCAAATACACTATAAGCTATTGTATCTTTTTTGCTTGCGAATATCGTGTCACGTCTTGCTAAACGACTTAGCTCCCATTAATCGTGATAACAAGCGGCCTTATGCAATTTACAGTTATGCATCTCGTATGGACTTATTCCAACCCATCAACTGAACCACCCAACCCTGCCGTGTTTTCACAGACTGTCACGACACGCTGCGCCTGCGGCCGCAGCAGCTCGCCGCCCTGGAGGCCGACCTGGCCGCCCGCTCTCACATTAAGTTCGCGTTTGATCAGACGTCCGAGCCGACTGTGCAGGGACGGCTGCTGCGCGCGCCCACGCCCTACCCCAAGGAGCTGCGGGAGCTGGCCAAACACGCGCGCAACCTGCAGAAACTGGAGCGGCGGCCGGAGCATTCGCTAGTGGTAGGTGTTTCGGGCCTGCTGTGGCCGGGACATCGAATTTCCTGTGTCCCTTTTGGGCAGGGACACTGTTTTCGTTTAAGCTTATTGCGGTGGTAATAGCTTCTTGCTTTTCGTTTTGTGATGTTTTTTTTTCATTTTCTTTCCTGCTTTTGTATCAGTGACTTTATTGGTTATTTGTCCTTTGTCTTGTTGCTTTGTTTTTTTAAGGTTGTTTTTGTTTGGTTTGTTTTGCTTGCACGCGTGGTTTCCTTTGCGCAGAACGGGGAGCATGTTGTGTCCCAGGCCAGTGCTGGTGGGGCTGAGCCGACGGAGGCTGCCCCGGCTCGGGACGCCCCGGCTGGGGATAGTGCGGCACAGCCGGCAACCGTCAGTGACACCAAACCCACTGACACCGCCGCGAGTGTAAAACAGGGTAAGACCACCACCCACACATACACGCTGGTGTTGAATAAACTTCGGAACAGTTTAGAAGAACGCGGCTCGTCAGAAGCCTGTGTGTTCGATTGCGCATTCGTAAATCTTATCATCCGTAATGCCCATGCCTAGCGCCAGTCGGCTGAAATAATTTCGCTACCATAAAAATATTATTCGTTATTGTGGTAATTTCATGAAAAAAAAATCCGATAAATAAATAGTAGATTCATCCGATTTTCGATGATAGTGCACTAAACGGTCATAATGCAGAAAATGCAGACGTGCGTTTGTAGTCTGTCCCGCTCGTGTCTTACGCCCTGCGTGTGTTCGTTGTGTTACAGCGAATGAGCGGATAGGTACCAGTCCCCCGCCCTACCACATCGCCGCTGTCCACTCACGGATGGCTGGGGAGTTTGCCGCCGCTGCCCCCGCCCCCGCCAACAGCCACCACATGCTCAGTAAGTGTTCGCACCTTAGCCTGGACGCGCATGTCCTCTGTAGCTGAACTAAATGCCTGCATTATACGGGCAACAAGCATGATGATTTTGCCTCATTATTATGTTGCCGGTCAGACAGGCAGGTATTTTCAGTTGATCCTTGACAAGATGCCGTTGTTTGCAGATATGTCCCTGGACACGCCTTCCGAGCGGCACCCGCCTTCTGCGCCGCTTCGGCTCAACGAGACATTCGACCTGGCGGACCTGGGCCGGCCGGAGGCGGCAGGGCGACGACCGAACGCCGAGAGTCGCCTTCAGCCCACACAGGAGGAGACCGGCCCGCCGATCGAATACAAACTGCCGCCCGAAGAGACTGACCCGCCGCCGTTCAGGTCGAATGGAAAATCGCCGAATTCGGAAGCGACAGATTTTCGAAATCCGGGGTATGCTGGTTCACAATTTTCCCATTCAAAGAGGCTGAGTTCCACTAATGGCTTCGAATTGAGCAATGGTGATGCCGTGAATCACTCACCGGCTGTGTTTCGGAGTTCAATCAGACAAGAGCGGACCGAGTCTTCAGAAAAAGGTGGAGCCGGTGAGACGGAACGTCCGGCACCCTCTGACGACTCTCCGTACGAGCGACCGATCGTCAGCTCTGCGGCCGGACCAACGACGGGTCCCGGCGGCCCGCAACTGCTCTCCACAATCAGCCAGATCACCGACTACGACTCGAGCACCTCAGACAGCGCCGAGGCGGCGGCAGCAGCGGCGGCCGGCCGGGCTCGCGGCTCGCCGCTGCGGGTGGTGCTTGCATCTCGTATCCCCCGCAGGCTGAGCAGTCCTGGCCTGCCGGGGGTTCCGCTACCCGCTACTGCAGCCGCGGCGGCTCGAACCCGCGGCTCAACGGCGGCAGGTGGGGAGCCTGGCCCACCTGCCGGTCACCGGGCGTCCTCCGCTAGCCACGATATGTCTCCTCACCTGGGACGAAATTCTCCCGCTGTCGCCGACACTACTCATAGCAGATTGCCTGCTCCGAGTGGTCTTCCTGCGCCGCACGGCAGACAGTGGACTCTTCAGTATGCGAACGGCCCGGCACGGCCATGGGAGCGACCCTCTGGTCCTCTCCCCGCCTCTGCGGAGAGACTGGAGTCGCCACGGCGCGGCTCGCTGCCGACAGATCGCTCTCCCAACCGGCGTGCGTCGGAAACATCTGCGACGGACGTGGTGGGGGCACAGCCCCGCGGCGGGCGCCCTGTCCCAACCGATCAGCAGGGCGCGGAGACGGGGTCGGTGAGCGGTGCTCCCTCAGACTCCCAGCAACCGTCGCCGGCACCGCGCCGCTGGTCCAACATGACAGGAAATAGTGGAGTGCCGACACCTGCCGCCCGCTGGACAGGACCCCCGGTTAGCGGAGCGCAGACTCCGACCGGACGCGGTGGACCGCCGGTGCAACAGCAAGCGGTGGAAAGACTCGACACGCCGACAGGTTAGTGGCCTGTGGTCGCCGTATGCGACTTATGAATTTGCCGTGTGATTCCCGGAAGTGGGGTTACGTGTCCTGCGACATATAGCTCGCGCAGCTGTAAGTAAGGTTGTGAAAAGGTTGTGATTTTCAATAGAAAATTCCTAGATTGTGATTTTCAATAGAAAATTCCTAGATTGTGATTTTCAATAGAAAATCACAATTCTAAAGAATAGTGATTGTCTTAATTGAAAAGTCCCAACCTTTTGATATGTTAGCACACGCTCGTTAGTATTGATTCGTCAAATGGTAAACGACTTGTAATGGTAATGCATGGCCACTGAGTGTTGAGTGCGAACATTAAGACTTTTGCGTGGTGTTATAGGCGTCGGCGCGGTCCCGTCGCCCGGCGTAGGCGCCGCAGCACGCCGCTCGGCCGTGCCCGCAGTTCACGGTCGGTCCACCTCCCGGATCCCAGTGTCGACCCGTCCGGGTCAGGTGGCGGCGGCTCCTTCTCCGGCCGCCCGCTTCGCCTGGCCGCTGCTGCCCACCACCGGCGGCTGGCATCAGGTGAGCACCCACTGCGGCCCTGAGGTCACAGTCACGCAATCGATCTGCTACACACGCCTCAATCATACAGTAACATCGCATACATATAACTTGATATAGTAAAGGTTGCTAGGATAAATCGGCCAGTGACCTTGGAAAGATTGAATGTTGCATTTGGGAGTATTTTTCGTTCTGTCTGTCGTCCACTGGTTTAGATACTATCGAACGTTCGTGTACTGCAACAGTTTCTGTTTTTGGTTTAGATGGAGCTGACCATTGAGAAGAATCCCGGGCTGGGGTTCAGCATCGCGGGTGGATCTTCGGAGGGAGGCCATTCAGGCAAGGTAAGCCGCCTCCGAGTGCAGATAATTGTGGAAACGGGTTTGAGTATACAATATGCTGCCTTGTAGCCATTATGAGTTATTGCCATGGCTCCGGTAATCGCACCAAAGACCCCAGAAAGGCCAAAATGATGGGCCGACTAGCTGTAGACGCTGAAGAGTTTTCTGCTTGAAGTCTACTTTTGTGAGCGGTTCGAGACAATATGGCGTGTTCTTTCCATCCGCTTTTACTGTAGCAACTGCTGCGAAAGTGTTTGTTCTCTGGCAAAATCTACAACGGACACAGTACAATGCCACGGCTGTCATTTTTATGTAGAAAATCGCTTCATTGTTCGAAATTCAGTCTTTTGTTGCAATTGTGTGAGCGCGTGCTGACTTTGTTTTTGCCGTCGCAGGGTGTGTACATCAGCCGAGTGCACGCCGACAGTCCGGCCTGGGGCGTGCTCCGGCCCGGCGACCTGCTCCAGGCCGTCGACGACTGCGACCTCAGCGCCGCATCGCACGAGCACGCCGTCAACGCCATCGTCAACACGGGCTCCAGCGTGCGACTGCGACTGCTGCGGCCGGCCGCCGTCCAGTGAGCGGGCGGCTCGGCCAGACGGCTGGGGGTGCCGCGCGACCAACGAGCTGATGACGGGTCAGAGAGCTATTGGCAGATAGCACGAATGCCCAGGGGGATCGATCACTAAGGGACGCTGGCAACTTGGGAAGTGCTCTGACCTTGCACCTGTCCTGTCAGAGGCTGTTACAATACGAGTGACTATCCTGGTTTTACGTAGTTCCGGTCTTCCAAAGCGGTTTCTCGCGCCGTATCAATCATAGAGGGTTGTTGATTTTTCGTTTGTTTGAAAAGACTCATGAAATCAATGAACGAATGCTGAGCTAGTCAATTTCATTCGTAGAAGTTTGTCTACGATTGGCGGATTTGACCGCTTATTCTTTAAAGATGCTGTTCTGCATTCTCTTAACTAGTGTATAATTTTCTCAAATCCAGTCCAGTAACATCGAAGTTGCGGTGGTTGGTGTGTATTACACCTTGTTATTGCTGCGGGCCCTGTAAAAGAGAACCACGCTTGGCCGGATCTACGGTAGATCCGGCTCCCCATTGATTGTTCGTGCTGCTCTGGGAGATCCAGCGCGCAGCACCTCGCTCTGTACCCAAGTCGGTCGGCTAGAATCATCCAAAGATCTGCGCTCTCGCGTTTTATGTTAGAACCTCATTGTCGGTGGGCCAGTACCGTACTATGCTTGTATGCATGTGTGAAGGCTCGACTATTCTGTCTTTCAATTATCATGTAATCAATTAGAATCATTGAGAGTCTCATCTTTTCACGTCAGCTCACATTCTCACCTTTTCGCATCGTGTCGCTAGTCTTAGCGCGGCGTGTCTGGGTCGGTTGACCGCTAATTACAATGATGCTAATCTTGTGCAATGTATGGCACGTCATTGTGCTAACCTGAAACATATCTTTTGTATCTGCAAATGCACTGTGCTTCCACGATAATGTTCACTTGGCAGTTGATGTCGGGGAGATAGCTTAGCTTACCTAGGTAAAGCCTAGGAGGTAGCTAAGTCTGAATTTCGCTCCTTTTGTTGAATTTTTGCGCTCACGCTAGACTTACGTTTCATCGGTGCGTGAAATGACGTGTGTGAAATCAAACTTTCACGTTTTTATCAATGTGCACTGTACGGTGGTGAGTGGAGTATTTTGGGTTATTGCTGATCACGATCAAAATGTGTCAAGTTTCCAAAGAGTAGATGTACGGAACACATGTTTTTTTCTCGTTTTGGTGAGCTCGTACGGTCTGGAAAACGCGCATGAGAAACCTGTGATGACTTTGAACCTGCATTTCCTGCCCTTTGTTCCAGCAAGATGTACGTTAAGTTGTGTGCATGTAGGTTTATGCTTAGAGTTTAGGATGCTGTTTCTTTTTTTGGAAGGGGAGGGACTGAGCTGGGTTTGATAACGAGTTTTTTTTTTACAATTACCAGTTATGAATATGTTATCATCGCACCGAATGCATCTCTCTGACGGCTGACTCTTGTGCTTTTTTAATGCGTACTCATCTATCATTCAAACGTGTCATCTCATCTCTGTAAAAGTCACTGACGCGATTGTTGACACCTGAATCGCTCCGTCACAGGAACATTCCGTCCGCCGCCCGGGCGGTGACGTTTATGGGAGGGCAAGGCTTGTGTCTTACTGACTATCTTGGTTATGTATGTTCACCGATCTTTCAAGTGCTTAAGGCCTAGATGCGATTTTTGCCCGTTTTATGTCGTCACTCGTCAACGCTGCATGACTTGCTTTTGACATTTGACATTTTCACAACGATATCAGCACTTATGTTAATGCATTCTAGTTTACTATATGCTCAAGGTGATGTAATGTGTATGCAATACAAGGTGTAGGCCTGCACCGCACCGTTACCTACATTTGTTTGGTGCACTGGGTGCGGGGCATCCACACAATAGAATGTCATATGGTCTCTGAACTGAACCTATTCAGCAGCAAATTGTCTGGATATTGTGCGAAAAAAAGCATTGCTTTTAATTACAGCTTGCTTCTCGTAACAAGTTTGTTAGGTAATATGCAATAAAAAACAGTGACCGTTCAACTAATCCACAGTTTTTTACCTAGGTGGTTAACGCTTTTTAATGATCGATTTTCGAAATCACGGGTATGGGAGGAGTGAAAATAATGAAGAAACACGAAGTTGGTGTGAAAAATCGATACCAATTTTCATGTTAGCGTGGAGCCCTCCATATCTGATTGACCCCATAGCTACATCCATTATATAACATATATCGGGTAGTTCGGTTTTTGTTGCCAAAAAAAAACTTATCTAGGCTGAGAAACTTACTTGGCTTGGCTTTTATCTTTGTTTGATGGGGGGGGGGCTATTTCGCTGCATGGATTCGTCTCTTAATTTTGCCTGCTTTTTAGACGTTTCTCGGGCTTGTTTTTCTTTATCCTTGATCAACAGCGGGAGCTCGCTCTCGCGCCGGAAGTTGTAATTGTAATGGGGCGGAGGGCGGAGGAGGATGGCAGTATGAATGAATTTGAATTTAAAGTCCGGCGCTTCTTTGGTCTAATCAAGAGGTTGTAGTTTCAAGAGCAAGATGTTCAACATCAAGAATATTGTAAAGAATATCACAGATCGGGTAAGTCAATTCAATCAACATGAAAATTGGGAAAGTTGCAGAACACCTGGGTAGCAACAAAATATACAGTTAACTTATTACTTAGATGATTATTTCAGCTGATTTTAGTGAAACAGATCCGTCCTTGGTGGATTTTGATTCAGACAAAGTGGGAGCATTCCTACTCCTTGGGTGCGTTCTTTGAACAGATTCCACGTGAAATTTCACGTGGAATCGGCAGTCAAGCCGTTCTTTGCCGATTCCACGTGGAATTTCACGTGAAATCCCGCGGAATTCCACGTGAAATACGGGAATCGGAAAAGCTTGTCGCGAGCGTTTTTTTCAAGATGGCGACGCCCAGTGGAGGAGGGAATGTGAATGTGTGCGTATGATATAGACTGGTTTTGTGGAATATGTTACTAAAATGTTACCGTTTTTACCAAAAAAACCTTTTAAGGGATTGTTTCCGCTGTTACTAACCAGCAAACTGGTGTGGAAATATTAACCGGTCGGTATTCTTACAAGCTGTATGCACACCAGAGACTTTTCTATAAAAACTCCATCTGCCTTTTATGCAACATGTAATTTACCGACAATACAAGCAACGCTAAGTTCAATGCATGTTTCACAAATCTGGGCATATTACATTTATGAAGCCTCTGCGACAATTGCGCCGTGAAATTCCCGTGCGGTCGGCAAAGAACGCATCAGCTGACTGAGCCGTGAAATTTCACGTGAAATTTCCGTGCAAAGAACGCACCCCAAGTGTTTCTTTAGATTCCGAAAGATCCTGATATTTCACCTTTTTATGCAATCCTGTGATGCGTGGAGCTAAGTTTTCATGTAAAAGCTTGAGCTGTGAAGTTTTATTTTCATGCAATAAAAGTATAAAAATTTAATGTTGATGTGCCTCTTATTTGTTGGTATATCACCCTATCCCCTGCAGACTAATACTATGTTATATTGCATGCTTAAATGCTCTTTTTAAATGCATTTTTTATGCTTACATACATAATTTACTTATGTTTCTTAGTCATACAATAACTCTTTATCGCTTGGTGGTACCTACCTAGCACACATGATTCTCATATAACTGACCTTATTTCTACCAATTCCTCCCAAAGGAGTTCAAGTGCTTGGGACTAGAAGAAGTGACAGTTGATTTGATTGTAATAAAGGTGTTTTTTGTGTTAGTCCCTTTTTATTTTATTTTTTCATGGTATTGGGACAGTGTCCTTTCTCCTTTGCACTCAGAAGCCTGATTTTGCCACTGAGTTAAATGCTTGAAGTTAATAAGAAATGCTTCGCTTAACTTCTGGCAGTGACATAGGTAATTCAGCAGCTGGCTATCCAGGTTTAGTGTGCTGATGTCCCTGATGGTGTTTAGATATTGTTGTGTGTTGTTAAAAGGACATTGTAATGTCATCCTCATTCACAAGATGCATTTTGAAGCCTTGTGGTTTGATTCAAAGAGATTCAAGGTCCATTATGGCACCATGGGCTTCCCTAACACTTAACAGTCATCCCAACCTAATCAACAGCTGAGCGCTTTTACAATTACAGCAATAAGATATCTTTGGAGGCCCTGCCTTCGACATGTTTCATACTCTTAGCTGTGCATGCTTCAAGCTGATTTGCCATTATATACCAATGCACATTAGCTATCTGACGTCATTGTCAGATCATTGGTCATCTGTATTGTGCAGGTGAAGATCATGACTGTTCAAGAGGACTTAGCTGGCGCAAGAGGGCGCCTCTGGCCTCAGGAGCCTGTGCTGTTCCAAGATGACCTCTGCACCAATTGATGGCTTCTAAGCACGATCTCTACAAGATCTTTCCATTCACTGAGGATAGCCGTGTGCGCCTTTGCAGGGGCGCTGATGGCGGGCCGTGCGCCGGCGCCGGGACAGGCGCCGAGTGCCGCCGAGGCTGGACTGGCGGCGGACCTGCGCGGCCAGCTGCGACTCTGGTGTCAGGACCAGGGACTGCTGGGCGAGCTGCGCGCCTTCTTGCGCCACCGACTGGTCACCCTGACCGGGTGCGGCGGCCCGCCTGCGCCGGCGCCGGCCCTAGCGCTGCTGGCGGCCGACCTGCTCCGCCACCTCCAGCTCTGGTTCTCCCTGGCCGTCGTGACAGCGGAGGCCGGTCTGAAGCGCTCCGGTCCTCAGGCGCGACTCTCCGCCGCCGAGGTTGATCGGGTGCTGAAAGAGCTCGGTGTTGCCATGGGCGGGAGTATGTTCGAGCGATACGCTGCCAGCGATCAGCCGCTGCTGATGCTTCTATTGCAGTGTACTGAACCGACATGTCCACCGCCGACACGAGAAAACGCTGAACCGCCACGACCACCTCAACAGACCTGCCTTACGAGCGAGACTGAGGCAGCCGAGCCTGGTTCGCTGGAGCTGCGGATGCTACGGTACCGAAGAAGGGCCAATGACAGAGCACAGGAGGAATATGCTCGCCAGCTTACCTCCTTCAAGGCTGACCAGCTGAAGCAAGTCAAGGAGCAAGAGAAAAGACGTTACCGAAGACAACTGGCCGCAATGCGGGAAGAAGTGGAACAGACATATCAAGAGAGACTGGAGCTCGAGAGACAGAAGTTGGATGTTGAACGAGATTCGATGCTGGCCAGACTGTCAGAAGAGCTAACGTTTCTTCGTGAGAGTAAGGATAGGCTGGAGACTTCTTACAAACAGATGGCTAATAGTGGTAGGAAAGCAGATTTGTCGCTAGCCAGTCAGTGTAACTGCTCCACTCAGACTGTCAGTGATGGCCACTGCGACAGGGCTTCGCAAACTGACTTGACTGAGGTTCTCAGGGATACCCATGCTTCCCCACCCAAGCGAACAAAACTGAATGTGACTTTTGACGCGGTGGATGATGAGCCAATCGAGAACACCACTGCCCTATCCTCTGGTGCACTGGCTCAGTCTCGAAACGAGCTGACGTCATCACCAGTCCGTGTGAATCTCCCCGACCCTCGTCTTGTCTCGGGACGGAGCCATACGCCGTTGCACGGACACTTTGCAGCTGACCAGCCGCATCCGTTCGCCAGTGGCGACGTCAGATCGCCGCAGAGTGTAAGGGCCACTTCCGCGCCGCAGTCGCCCGCTGTCAGGGGTCCGGTCGCAGCGAGCCAGCTGTCCGCTGTCAGTGGCGATCACAGCCCAAGTCAGCTTGCAATGGCAGGTGGAAGAAGTATGGTTTATCCGCCTCCAGGTGCAGCTAACGCTACATCTAGGTATGAAACTGTTCAGAGCAGACTGATCAGTGATCTGGAGAGACGTGTCGCCGAGTGTGAGGCCAACCTGTCAACAAGTCACTCTGGCTCTCAGTTCTCATCCCCAGACCGGGCTGCTCGAAACCAGGCAGTGGCGGCACGGCCACGTCACCCATGTTGTGAAGGTGAAGGAAATGTGCGGAAAGACGTGATGCTGGAGCGTCAGCGCCTCTTATTGGAGAGTCTCACGGAGCGTGCCAGCGAACTGGAGGAGCAGATGCGTGCACTACAGCTGCTGGCTGGAAGGACACAACCCGCAGGGCAGACGAGATCTGAGCGACCCCTAGCTACCAGTCCCCATCCTTCACTGCCACTGAGTCTTTATCATCCTCCACACGTGGAACAAGTACCGCTGGCGGCGTCCTCTGCAGAGCAACAAAAAGACATAGACGCTCTCATTGCATCAACACGTAGCCGATTGGGAGAAATGTCTGCCGCGGCGGGACGGCTGTCTCGTCAGTTCCGCGATAGCGAGACAGCCAGGCAGCGTGCCGAGCTGGACCGCTTGCTCGACAATGTCAAGCCTCAGTTATTACTGGAACGAAAACCTGTCTCACAGTCTCCTGAACGTTTGGCTGACAGACAGGCTGGTGTGCTGACGGGAGGTGAGAGCCAGCTGGAAAGATATCGAAGAACCCGGCCTGATGCTGCCAATGCGGCCCCTTTGCCAAGAGACAAAAGAATAGATGATGTCCTACAGAGCAGTCGAATGACTGTTGCAAATGACGCAAACAGAGAACAAACCAGATATAATGCCTTCACTGAGAGTGAAACGATGGGACTTAGGACATCAGAGTTTGGTGCGAAGTCAGTACCAGCCCTCAGTGGGGCTGTGGCAGAACGTCTCAGAAGCGGCAGCCATGGAAGGGTGTTTCCTCTACGATTTAGTCTCGAAAGAGACCGGGCGTACGAAGGCTCACCAACACGTGATGTACCCGTGAGGCATGCTGCCAGTGCGTCGGCCATTTCTGAACGTTCTGTTCCACCAGCCAGACGTGTAGAGAGC